AAATTTACTATATATTGTATACATATTGAATACTGTGATACAGATACACCACAAATGTACGTATACAAATCTTCTTCAAGAGAATAAATGTAAACAACTAAGGGTAAATAGGGAAATGATTAATCTATCCAACAATTAGTACAAAGTCTCTATTACCTTATCTTATGATCATATCTGAAACACAAGAATTTCTAATGGCAACACATGATCTGTGACTAAAAAAAAGGGATATTTCTTTAGGATAATGACTATTACTACTACTGCTACTACTACTTTAGCTAACTAAAATTCAAGTAGGAACAATCATTTCAAGTTCTATTTGTTATTCAATCTAACAACAGAAAAAATTATAGGCATGGTAGTATTTCTCGACCTTAAGGCGGCATTCGACTCTGTTGATCGTGAAGTTCTATGGCAGTGTTTGTCACTGAAAGGAGTACCAAAGAAGTACATTAACCTTATAAAGGCTCTCTACTCGAACACAACCGGTAGAGTGAGAGCTTATGGCGAACTGTCATCAGAATTGATTACCTCAAGTGGTGTTCGTCAGGGCTGTCCACTCTCCCCATTCTTGTTCAACTTTGTGGTCGACGTACTTTTAGAGATAACACTCTCCTCATCTAAATTTCAGGGGTTGAACTTCTACCGGGAGGTTCACTTGTTGACTTAGAATATGCTGATGACATAGTTTTATTTGGTGAAGACGCTGACAAAATGCAGAGTCTTCTGACCACTCTAAGCAACAATGCAAGCATGTTCGGGATGCGATTCTCCCCCTCGAAATGCAAAATGTTGCTTCAGGATTGGGTTACATCGACACCCGAACTAGTGATAGGGAGTGAAGTAGTTGAGTGTGTCGACCGCTTCACTTATCTTGGAAGTCTCATCAGCCCTTGTGGTTTAGTGTGTGACGAAATCTCAGCACGGATACAGAAGGCTCGACTAGCTTTTGCCAACTTGCGTCATTTATGGCGTAGGCGAGATATCCGTCTATCAACCAAAGGACGTGTTTACTGCGCAGCAGTTCGTTCCGTCCTACTTTATGGCAGTGAAACATGGCCGGTAAGAGTAGAGGATATCCGTAGGTTACTAGTATTTGATCATAGGTGTCTTCGAAACATTGCTCGTATATCATGGGACCATCGAGTAAGTAACACAGTTGTTAGGAAACGGGTACTAGGTAAGGATGGCAAATCAATTGATGAAGTAGTGAAACTTCATCAGTTGAGATGGCTGGGACACGTGTTACGTATGCCCAACGACCGACTGCCTCGACGTGCTATGTTCAGTGGTATAGGAGTAGGTTGGAAGAAAGCTAGGGGCGGCCAAACCAAAACATGGCACAAGTCCATGAAGTCACTGACAAGTGGACTGAGTCATGTTGGTAGGTGTAGACTACCTGGTTGGGGACCGCGAGATGATAGCAACCGATGGTTAGAGACCCTGAATGACATGGCTCAAAATCGTTTGCAATGGCGCAGGTGCATCCACTCTCTGTGTTCTCCCAAATTCTAATCTTCTGAATTCTTCATGTCCCTTTTTTTCCTCTTTCCAAATTTATTTCACTGGATTATACTCTTTAAATAACATCTCCAAACCCTAATCTTCCCGATTACTGCTTATACTCTTGCTACCTCTACCACTACGGGATTTGAATAGACAACTGCATCTCTGTGCTAATGTGGTGTGGCAACTCGAACTGATGTACATATGTACGAAGTTCTACGTTGTTACTGACTGACTGACTTTATAGTATAAGACTAGCCAGCTTGCCTGAAGAAATACATCAACTTGGGTAGCAGCAGCAAAAACCCAGGAAACAATACTGAATCTAAGAAAATTTGCACCAACATTTAGAATATTACGATAACTCCGGCATTTTAGCACACTGAAACATTAAATTATGCAGCTACACAAAATAGCTGAAAAAAAACAGAACGAGGAAAGCCGATCGCCTTTGCTTACAAAGATGGTGGATGTAATAATTCCCGCCTCATTGTAATTGGTCGCTAAGCAGGCAGCCACGTTTACGAGATCGTGTTTCGTTTAATTGCAGCCTAATGTTAACGTAGTTACCGCGATCTTTTGATCACATTCTACTTATAAAATATTAAGTAGTTTGAGACTTGTTTAAGATATTTCTTGTCCTTATGCATGTTATCGAAAGACACCAACTTATTAAAATCAACTTTTTGGATTCACTTAACACATTTTTGCATATATGCTTGATTGTATATATTCATATGAGATTAATGAATGGTAGAACAGGGTTGGAAGTAGTCAATAAAAACCAAACGTATACAAAAGATTACTTCATAGTTGTTATCAGTTTACAATCATCATACAGTTACATCTAGTACGTCACTTCCTAGATTTTTAAGCATGTCTTACTAATTGGATTAGAATCTTTAAATTAGAAAAGAACATTAAGAACGTTTCTTATTCACAAGTTTCGTACAAATAATACGCAATGAAAAGATTTCAACTTCCTCAACATACCATTTATAGTATTGATAGATAACTTCAATGACTTTCGTGTAATGCTTTTAAGTGTGACCGGATATGAATGAAATTCGTTCCTTTCTTATCATTCAATACATCCAAAGGTTTATTATTTATGCCCATAACCAAACAATAGATCAAACGTTTTTTTTCATTAAACGCCCCATATTATGACTCAGTTTGACCTAGATACTGTTTGTCTCAAATCTGACTACTACTAATCAATCAATATTTTGGTATTTTTCTTATAACCATGACTAGTACTTATAAATCATTCATACTATTGCAAATCTCATTATCGTAGGGTGTGTTCTTTTATCCTTCTTCTTCCAAACAACTAACATTATTCGCCATTCACATCATTCGTCATACCAGATCTAATAACTTAAGTCTCATTATTATGTGGTAGGTTAAATCAAATGTCACTAGGGCTGTCATGATAATATGACTGATACCCTTATAGACTCGATGAAACTATGTTAAGTTCATGAATTAAACATCTTTTTGTAATGGTTCAGTCAAATAAGACTGGATCATACGCGATGTATTTTTGTTCTACGAAGCAAACTCCAGCCAAGAAAAATGGTTACTATGATCATTGAATTGTTTATTACGACTCGTCAATGCTAACAATGATCAGGGTGGATAGATTAATAAATCATATTGGATAAACAAATATAACATTTTGCTTGACTATTTCTATGTTGTTTCTTCTTTCTATTCAAATCTATATATAACTATGCCTGATGAAACCTAGTTAGCTATATAAGCTATACTAAAATGCTGGCTATAAATTTGTAATGAACCAGGCTAGAAAGCCATTGAATTTGGTAGTTCCCATGTCAGCTAAGCAGCTATATCGTTCTGTTTACCTCTGTGATAGTTTGATACTCGTAGATGGGCGACAGGAATAATGCCATTATTATCGATTATTGTCTAACATTTGTTTAACTTTAAACCAGCATCCAAAATAAAACATAAGGATGAAGATGAAATCACCGACAACTAGACTGAAAATTCAAAATGCAGCAATGATATATGTAGAGTGAAAGCTCATCAAACACTGATCGTATGGAACCGATAAAAATACGTTATTATACATCTATTTCGACTTAAATCGAAACAAATGTTAACCATACTGTTTTCAACTAACCACTGAAGCTTATGTGTGTGTGGAGATATGACGGACAAGCTTATTTTGTAAATAGTTTTTTATATTATCTGTATTTAATTGTCAATTTTTCACTGCAAGTACATTCATCATTAAATGACTGTACGTGTTGTTTTAGTCAATGACCTTGACCACTTTTTCCGTTGTGATACTACATAGCGTGACACACTTTTGGTTGTTCGCAAATACACTACTACACACACGCTCCTGGTTCTATTCTCATCGTTATCGAGCTTATCGCATTCTAAGCCAAATATTATCCACATTTTAGACTGTTGTGCCATATCTATTACACCCTACGTCAAAGGAACTTACTGGAGTTATATTTGCCTCATTGGAATTATTACTCATTTATAATTGTGGATTTTCGGGACCAAAACTCAACGAAACACGCAACAACCAGCTGATTTAAGTAACGTCCCTGAATTTTTATTTTGTGTTGCTAATTTATAAATTGTTATTGTTACATTAACTTTTGGACATAATACCTTTATCGCTAATTTTTGGTTATTATACTTTTGGTCCACCACAATTATTTGGTGAGCCTCGATTTTTTTTATAGACATCTAATATATGTATCTACATATTTTTTTAAATTATTATTAATTGGCACGACACCATTTTTTGTTTTCGACATTATGAACTCTCTTAATAAACTTATCGATATAGATAGCCCATCAACCAACCCCTTTCATCCATCACAGCCAGAAGATAATGTTTTAAACTCGATCAACGATATTTCTGAACTAAGATTACAAACATACGATGTCAACAACCCTAGAATTTGGTTTGCTCAAGTTGAGGCACTATTTTTGGCGAGGGGTATACGTTCGCAGGCGACTAAATATGCCCACGCCATCGGTGCACTGCCTATAGAAGTAGCAACGGAAGTTGGTGACCTGATTGACAACGTACCAGAAACTGACCCTTATGACAAGATAAAAGCTGCAGTAATCCAACGCACATCACTGTCAGACGAAAAACGTTTACAACAACTGCTTACCTCGTGCGAGCTAGGGGGTAAGAGACCTTCACAGTTACTCCGACACATGCGACAGCTCGCCGGCCCATACAAATTAGACGAGACGCTGCTTAAGCAAATGTGGCTACACTGGTTACCACATAATGTTAGACAAATTCTCAGTATTTCAGGAACTTCTGTCACTCTTGACGATTTAGCTGATATGGTTGATAAGATGATGGAAATATAGCCCGATAGTCGGGGAATTAACGCGGTACAACCCTCTAGTAGAGACGCTATGAACCCCCTCTTGACATTCAGCAACAAATAGCACACTTAACTCAGCAGCTAGCATCACTGCAGGCGACTATTTCCACCATCCATTCTCGACCCCCAGATCTACGTCCAGAAGAGATCAGTATCCAGACATCGTCTTAGGTCACCTAAATGGGCAGCCGGAATTTGTTGGTATCATTCGAATTATGGTGAGAAAGCACGTCGTTGCACAAAACCGTGCAACTTCACGACAAACAAGCTAGACCATCAGGGAAACGAAGTGGCCAGACAGTAATGGCGGCAGCTGTTATTGGCCAACATGTTAGTCGCCTCTTCCACATCAGGGATCGTATTTCTGGCTCAGACTTTTTAGTTGATACTGGAGCAGAAATCAGCATCATCCCACTCCATCTCTCACGCAGACAACATACGACAAGCACTAAATTGTCCTTAGTAGCGGCTAATGAATCAACTATCAAAACGTACGGTGAGCAAGCACTTATATTGGATCTCGGACTCCGCAGAGGATTTACATGGGTTTTCATAGTTGCTCACGTCAAACGACCCATCCTCGGAGCCGATTTCCTTAGTGCGTACAACTTGTTAGTAGATATGACTAAGAAGAGATTGATCGATGCAAATACACGTTTACAGGTAGATGGTACACCTTCCAACGACTGTGAAATCCATGGTGTACGAATAATGAAGCCTGCGAACAACGTTTTCAACGACATTCTGTCAGAATACGAATGCATCACGAAATCAGATTATCAAAAGGAATGTAATCCACATCAGGTGCAACACCACATCATTACCACCGGTCCACCTATTAGCGCCAGGGCGAGGAGACTACCGCCAAGCAAGTTGCAAGTAGCTAAAAAAGAATTCGAACATATGATGCAACTTGGTATTATCAGACCATCCAACAGCCCTTGGGCCTCGCCGTTACACATGGTACCAAAGAAAGACCAAGATTGGCATCCGTGTGGTGACTATCGCCGTCTCAATAATCAAACCATCCCTGATAGGTACCCTATCCCTCATATACATGACTTCTCGTTAAATTTACATGGCAAATGCATCCTCTCGAAACTTGACCTCGTTCGCGCACACCATAAAATTCCAATGGCACCAGAAGACATCGAGAAAACAGCCATAATAACACCTTTTGGTTTGTTTGAGTTTCTAAGGATGCCATTCGGACTAAAAAACGCTGCGCAGACATTCCAACGCTTCATGGATAACGTAACAAGAGGCCTTGATTTCGTGTTTGCCTACATCGACGATGTTCTGATTGCAAGCTCATCTTTAGAAGAGCATATCCAACATGTCCAGATCCTTTTTGATCGTTTTAAAAAACATGGCGTCGTCATCAATCCTTCGAAATGCATATTCGCAGTCCCAGCCTTAGAGTTTTTGGGACATTACATCGACTCACAAGGGATCAAACCACTTCAGACGAAAGTTGAAGATATTATTAACTACTCCGAACCAACCTCGGTGAAGTCATTACGACGCTTCCTCGGTATGTGTAATTTGTATCGCCGCTTCTTACCACGTTGTGCTGAAGTATTACAGCCATTAACCGGTCTGCTGAAAGCCGACAAAAAAGGTACGAAGAGAGAGAAGAGCCAGACATTCAACCTACCCCCTGACGCAAAAACAGCATTCGGAAAAGCAAAGTCGATGGTATCCAATGCCACCATGCTACAACATCTAAATACTGACCCCACAACACACTTAATTTTGTGTACGGACGCATCTCAAAAGGCCGTCGGGGCAGTATTACAACAACAGGTAAACAACATGACTACTCCCATAGCGTTTTTCTCCAAAAGACTGTCACCAGCCCAGGAACGTTATAGTACTTTTGGACGCGAACTCTTAGCTATGTATTTAGCAGTAAAACATTTCAACTTTTTGCTACAGGGTCGTAATTTCATCATTATGACAGATCACAAACCCCTTTGCCATTCTTTTAGCACATCGTATGACAAACACTCTCCACGAGAAGCAAGACAACTTGATTATATTTCCCAATTTACTACGGATATCAGGTTTATCAAAGGTCACACAAACATTGTCGCAGATGCACTATCTAAGAGGGATATCAATACGATGGTACTCAATCATGACATCAGCCTTGAAACCTTGGCTAAACTTCAAGTAGACGATGCAGAATTGAAAGTCTGCAAAGAAAAGTCTAGCTTAGATCTCAAACCTGTACCAATTCCTCTTTCAGATGCATTCATCATGTGCGACACTTCAACAGGCAACAATCGTCCGTTTGTCCCACACGCTTGCCGACGAAAAATATTTCAGCACTTGCATGGTCTTTCACATCCAGGCATCAGAGCAACAACAAAGCTCATTACCGAACGTTTTGTGTGGCCTAAAATCAACTCGGATGTTAAACGATGGACACGTAGCTGCCTCCAGTGCCAACGCAGTAAAACGCAGAAACACATCTACAGTCCAATTGGGAAGTTTCCTATCCCTGACAGCACGTGCATTTAGATTTAGTTGGGCCTCTGCCACCATCAAACTCTTTTACACATATCCTCACCGCAATAGATAGGTTCACAAGATGGGCCATAGCATGCCCCATTAAAGACACATCGGCAGAGACAGTGGCTTCAGTTTTCCTCGACCGCTGGATATCCAACTTTGGCGTACCATCAACAATCACAACAGATCGCGGTCCCCAATTTCAATCTGTCCTTTTTCAGGAGTTCACTAAACTTTTAGGGGTCAACCACATTAAAACCACAGCTTATCACCCAGCAGCTAATGGCATGGTTGAAAGATTCCATCGCCAATTAAAAAGCTCACTGATGGCGCAAGCTGACTCATCAAAGTGGAGCGATGCCTTACCGCTTGTACTCCTCGGTATTCGTTCAACCATAAAGGAAGACATTGGATGTACAGCCGCCGAGTTAGTCTATGGTACAACTCTAACGTTACCTGGTCAACTAGTCAACTATGAACCTACAACGCACGGGGATTCTACTCATTTCGCAAGTCGCCTATTACAAACGATGCAGAATATTAAAGCAATATCCCCTCGCGAACACAACAATCGAGTCCAACTTGATAAAAACCTTGAAACGTGCAAATTTGTCTTCGTCCGAGTAGATGCGGTTAAAAAACCATTGAAACAACCATACGAAGGTCCATATAAAGCAATTAAACGCACACAAAAATACTTCATCATCAACAGAGATGGCAACAAGCAGACTATTTCTATAGACAGAATAAAGCCTGCTTTCTGTGGAGCTACTCAAGTCAAGGAAGACAACGTTGTTGACAATCAACCCCTCTCACCAGCGACTGAAAAACCAGTGGAGGATAAAAAACTTAATACTAAGCCTTCTTGTTTAACACGCTCCGGTAGACCTATAAACAAACCCAAGCGTTACGTCCATTTCGTCGATCAACAAACAAAAAACAAAGCACACACCTACCTATGTCACACAATACTAATTTCACGCAAAAAATTTTTTCCTTTCCACATTTTTCCACAGTTATTCGTTTTTTTTTTCATACACATAGTTCCCTTTATCATTTTGAAAAGAGCAAGAACAAAGATTCTAGCAGAATAACATGAATTCATTTTATTTCGTAGGTTCTCGTCAGCTGCTTACAACCTATAGTATTTAAAAAGATAATAATTACATAATGGGTTTGAATTGCTTACATGAGAGGGTTTATATTTAAGAAATGTTCGTAAAGTATGACATGGGTGTAAATGAAATTAATAGGCTGAATATTGTAAATATATACCTAATGTGAAAGAATGTTCTAGAGCATTAATTGTGTCAACAGTTCAAAGGGGTAGAAACAATTGATTACATAATGAATAAACATTGATAGGAATATAGTGAGTAGAGTTCAGTTGAAAGATTATTAATTTTTTTAAAGATAGTTGAAAAAATAAAATCAATGACGTAATAAATATAAAAATAAAATTTTAAAATTTTTTAAGCTGCAGCGGAAGAATATTTGTCACCAAGGCAGGGAAAGATTAACAATCATCTTCTTCTGAACACATAAATCAGGTTTTTGGCGCCTGATAGCAACTGCTTCAGCAAACTTCAGAAGACTGGAGTTTGGCTGCTTACTAATAACCTTGAATGATTGTAGGGTGTCAACCTGATGGCCTGTGTCAAGCAGATGTTTAGTGATTGCGCTACTTAGAGTCTTTTTTCTCTTATTCTGAGGTTTTTTGGGACATGTTCAAAAAATCTGAGGTATGCCCTCCTTTTTGTTCGGCCAATGTAGCTGCTTTGGCAGGTACATGTAAATTTATAAATACAATTGGCGGTAACATGAAAAGGATGCTTATCAACCTTTGATTGAGTTAAGGAACATGTTGTTTTATAAAGAATTTGAGGTTTCGCCGCTGGATAGGTTCTGGCTAGCGCAGTATTTAGTCTCCTGTTGATTGTGTTAGCAACATCGTCACCTTTGAAATTAAGACTTATAGTTATTAGTTTTTTGTTGACAGTAATTACTTTAGTATTATTTTCTTTACGCTTTTTATATTTTTCAATAAACTTTTGTGGGTAATAGTTGTCTCGTAGGCATTTTTGTACGTTCATCAATTCTTCTTCCAGCTTATCAGTGGTACAAATCTTTTCTGCCCTATAAAATAGTGTTTTAACTAGTGCCTTTTTGTAGCTGAGTGGACAAAAACTATTGAAATTCAGGTAAAGGCCATTCCAAGTACTTTTTCGATAAAGCGAACGTTGGACTGTCCCGTCTCTCCTACGTTTTATAGCAACATCAAGAAAGTGGAACATGTCATTCTGTTCGTGTTCCATAGTAAATTGAATGTTTGGATGTGCATTATTGAAGAGTTCTAGCAGGCGGATTGCATGCTGTTTATTGTTGCAGACAATGAACGTGTCATCAACATATCTGGAATATTCCGTCGTTTCGTTAATCGCCTGATTAAGCACCATGTTTTCAAGATATCCCATAAAAATATCTGCCAGAATTGGACCTAGTGGGCTTCCCATTGCTACGCCGTCGATTTGACGAATATATGGTGTTATTAAACTGGAATTGGACGTCTGTTGTGCACAACAATTGGCCGAACAAAAGAGGGCATACCTCAGATTTTTTGAACATGTCCCAAAAAACCTCAGAATAAGAGAAAAAAGACTCTAAGTAGCGCAATCACTAAACATCTGCTTGACACAGGCCATCAGGTTGACACCCTACAATCATTCAAGGTTATTAGTAAGCAGCCAAACTCCAGTCTTCTGAAGTTTGCTGAAGCAGTTGCTATCAGGCGCCAAAAACCTGATTTATGTGTTCAGAAGAAGATGATTGTTAATCTTTCCCTGCCTTGGTGACAAATATTCTTCCGCTGCAGCTTAAAAAATTTTAAAATTTTATTTTTATATTTATTACGTCATTGATTTTATTTTTCAACTATCTTTTAAAAATTAATAATCTTTCAACTGAACTCTACTCACTATATTCCTATCAATGTTTATTCATTATGTAATCAATTGTTTCTACCCCTTTGAACTGTTGACACAATTAATGCTCTAGAACATTCTTTCACATTAGGTATATATTTACAATATTCAGCCTATTAATTTCATTTACACCCATGTCATACTTTACGAACATTTCTTAAATATAAACCATCTCATGTAAGCAATTCAAACCCATTATGTAATTATTATCTTTTTAAATACCACAGGTTGTAAGCAGCTGACGAGAACCTACGAAATAAAATGAATTCATGTTATTCTGTTAGAATCTTTGTTCTTGCTCTTTTCAAAATGATAAAGGGAACTATGTGTATGAAAAAAAAAACGAATAACTGTGGAAAAATGTGGAAAGGAAAAAATTTTTTGCGTGAAATTAGTATTGTGTGACATAGGTAGGTGTGTGCTTTGTTTTTTGTTTGTTGATCGACGAAATGGACGTAACGCTTGGGTTTGTTTATAGGTCTACCGGAGCGTATTAAACAAGAAGGCTTAGTATTAAGTTTTTTATCCTCCACTGGTTTTTCAGTCGCTGGTGAGAGGGGTTGATTGTCAACAACGTTGTCTTCCTTGACTTGAGTAGCTCCACAGAAAGCAGGCTTTATTCTGTCTATAGAAATAGTCTGCTTGTTGCCATCTCTGTTGATGATGAAGTATTTTTGTGTGCGTTTAATTGCTTTATATGGACCTTCGTATGGTTGTTTCAATGGTTTTTTACCCGCATCTACTCGGACGAAGACAAATTTGCACGTTTCAAGGTTTTTATCAAGTTGGACTCGATTGTTGTGTTCGCGAGGGGATATTGCTTTAATATTCTGCATCGTTTGTAATAGGCGACTTGCGAAATGAGTAGAATCCCCGTGCGTTGTAGGTTCATAGTTGACTAGTTGACCAGGTAACGTTAGAGTTGTACCATAGACTAACTCGGCGGCTGTACATCCAATGTCTTCCTTTATGGTTGAACGAATACCGAGGAGTACAAGCGGTAAGGCATCGCTCCACTTTGATGAGTCAGCTTGCGCCATCAGTGAGCTTTTTAATTGGCGATGGAATCTTTCAACCATGCCATTAGCTGCTGGGTGATAAGCTGTGGTTTTAATGTGGTTGACCCCTAAAAGTTTAGTGAACTCCTGAAAAAGGACAGATTGAAATTGGGGACCGCGATCTGTTGTGATTGTTGATGGTACGCCAAAGTTGGATATCCAGCGGTCGAGGAAAACTGAAGCCACTGTCTCTGCCGATGTGTCTTTAATGGGCATGCTATGGCCCATCTTGTGAACCTATCTATTGCGGTGAGGATATGTGTAAAAGAGTTTGATGGTGGCAGAGGCCCAACTAAATCTAAATGCACGTGCTGTCAGGGATAGGAAACTTCCCAATTGGACTGTAGATGTGTTTCTGCGTTTTACTGCGTTGGCACTGGAGGCAGCTACGTGTCCATCGTTTAACATCCGAGTTGATTTTAGGCCACACAAAACGTTCGGTCATGAGCTTTGTTGTTGCTCTGATGCCTGGATGTGAAAGACCATGCAAGTGCTGAAATATTTTTCGTCGGCAAGCGTGTGGGACAAACGGACGATTGTTGCCTGTTGAAGTGTCGCACATGATGAATGCATCTGAAAGAGGAATTGGTACAGGTTTGAGATCTAAGCTAGACTTTTCTTTGCAGACTTTCAATTCTGCATCGTCTACTTGAAGTTTAGCCAAGGTTTCAAGGCTGATGTCATGATTGAGTACCATCGTATTGATATCCCTCTTAGATAGTGCATCTGCGACAATGTTTGTGTGACCTTTGATAAACCTGATATCCGTAGTAAATTGGGAAATATAATCAAGTTGTCTTGCTTCTCGTGGAGAGTGTTTGTCATACGATGTGCTAAAAGAATGGCAAAGGGGTTTGTGATCTGTCATAATGATGAAATTACGACCCTGTAGCAAAAAGTTGAAATGTTTTACTGCTAAATACATAGCTAAGAGTTCGCGTCCAAAAGTACTATAACGTTCCTGGGCTGGTGACAGTCTTTTGGAGAAAAACGCTATGGGAGTAGTCATGTTGTTTACCTGTTGTTGTAATACTGCCCCGACGGCCTTTTGAGATGCGTCCGTACACAAAATTAAGTGTGTTGTGGGGTCAGTATTTAGATGTTGTAGCATGGTGGCATTGGATACCATCGACTTTGCTTTTCCGAATGCTGTTTTTGCGTCAGGGGGTAGGTTGAATGTCTGGCTCTTCTCTCTCTTCGTACCTTTTTTGTCGGCTTTCAGCAGACCGGTTAATGGCTGTAATACTTCAGCACAACGTGGTAAGAAGCGGCGATACAAATTACACATACCGAGGAAGCGTCGTAATGACTTCACCGAGGTTGGTTCGGAGTAGTTAATAATATCTTCAACTTTCGTCTGAAGTGGTTTGATCCCTTGTGAGTCGATGTAATGTCCCAAAAACTCTAAGGCTGGGACTGCGAATATGCATTTCGAAGGATTGATGACGACGCCATGTTTTTTAAAACGATCAAAAAGGATCTGGACATGTTGGATATGCTCTTCTAAAGATGAGCTTGCAATCAGAACATCGTCGATGTAGGCAAACACGAAATCAAGGCCTC